TATATTAGCCCATAAATATAAATATGAATTTTTCTCCATGTCTGCAAACATATAAATATCTAAATTTACTTCTAACATCAGCATAAACTGATCTCTGAAATGTATTAATCAACTATTCTTTTCTAGCGAGATGGACTCAAACTCAGGATGCCCGGAGCACAGTTGTGGAAAAAAGAAAAAGAAAAAAAGTGGGATCACTGCTGGTTGATGTCAATTTAGTGAATGCAATTTACTTAAAATTACAAAATATTCTTTGTATATAATATTTATGTGCAGTCAAGAAAGCACCAACTGTACAATATGTTTAAAGGCTGTCAGTGAGAGTCAAAATAGACAAAATGGCTGATTAATGAATAATTATAAATGACAAAAAGGCTGCATTTACTTTATCGAAAATATATTATAGCATTAAAATTGTTTTCTGTTGTCTTTTTTAAAGATGCTTCTTCAATTTCCATTTTACCATTAAAAAAAGGAAAAACTCCAGAAACAAGTCATACTTTATTAAGATATTATTATTGTTATAAATACACCTTTAGCTAAGACTTTTAACTCAATAAACTACTAATTAGCTGCTTTATTATAATCTAGCTAGGCAGTAGTAGGGCTTAGGTGTTTGGAAGGATTAGGGATGTTGAATAAAATCATATTTTAAATAGTACTACTAAACAGCCAGTATCTTAATAACAGGCAGGTCATAAGCTAGTAGTTAACAGTCGGAATTAGTACTTAAACTAAAGTGCTGTAAAAACAGTGTTTTACTGCTTAATTATTTTGTGTAATTATTTCTTTATCATTCTTTAATGAACAGAATGTCCAAATAATGCCTTTTTTTAAACAAATATTTTGAAATATTGCAGTTTTTAGCCCCTTTCACACATACAGACCTTTCCAGAAAATTACCAGCAATTGTTCCGAAAGAGAAGTTGTAAGATTACCGGTAATTTGCCAGAATGTTGCTTTGTAGCTATGTTTCCATCCAAAAATGCGTATTAACTTTATGTGCAAAACTGGATTATCACATCAAAGATGTGCGAATAAAGCAGCGTTTCCATCCAACGAGTCAAAGCAAACAAATCGTCACTTACTGATTATCTGACGCCAAATATCAACAGTAAAAACCGAATTTGCTGCGATAAGAGAAGCTGCGTGAATCTTTTCTGCATTTAATAAATGACTTGCACCTCAGAAGGCAATACTGACACACAGTGGATGCGCAGTGGCGTTTGAAGGTGTAAGATGCAGAGCACAAATGCTCTTGATTCTGAAAGTCATTAATAATATAATAACACTAATACTAATATGGTTAAGGCGTCTTAAAATGACCAAAACAACATTACAGATGTTTTACAATGCACATCTTTTCTTATCGAATAAAAAGTTTTTTATACGCATAAAGTCATTTAAACGCGCATGTTGGCGTTTCCATCAACTGATTTTTTAAGAAACATAGCTACTGTGAACGCAGAAAGAAAATGGCGGAAAGAGCGCGTTCACATTTAGAACACGCTGATGTGAAAACCAATCAGAACATTCAGACGCATGTACATCTGCGCTGTTTATGAATATAAAAGCATTGAATGTTTTTTCCAGACACATTTAGCTGCTACATGTTTATCAGATAACGTTTCTATGTTCATTAATAATGCCAACTGTGTAAAGAATTATCAATAAAATGCTTATGATGAGCCGCTGTCTGTTTACAAGCTCTGCTTCAGTTGCTAGACGCGTGTGCACAGGAAGTGAAGTAGTGCTCCAGTGAGCGCCAGCACACTCACATATTATGTACATTTCGACATGCGAAAAGTGTTCCTCGATTTGTTTTCATCGAAGTTGTTCACACTACTTATCCATCCACAGAATTTGTGATGTAGTCAAGTGAGCAAACATTTAGCTGCGACTAGCGCTTCTGCCTTTGCATGTCTCTGGGACAAAAGCAGCTGCATGAATGCTAAAGCTTTAAATAAAAGTGAAACCATCAACAAAAGCCTGACCCCTTCTATGTTTACAAATACAAGCGCAGCCGTTTAGAGGTCATTTCTGGTTGATAATGTCAGAACTTACAAGTATTTTGCAATGGATTTGTAAACGGTCTTTTCCAAAACATCCGTAATCGCTTTTTTGAATTTACCGGTAAAAAAGCTCTGGAAAATCTCTGAATTTTTACAGATATCACTGTGTGAAAAGAGTTTTGTCACTCTTGTCATTTTATGTATCCTGTATTATTATATTAATAAAAGCTTAAACCTAATTAAAAACAAGAAAACAAACCTTAATTTTGTTAGTTTTTTAAACATTTGTAAAATTATGGTACACTTTTCCCCATGAATACGAATATAAGGATCATAGTAAAATTTAAACAAGCAAGAAGTTACATTCTATAGAAGCACAGCCAAGCAGTATGATAAAAATCTTAATTCATATTCTGATAATTATATTTATAGAACAATATAATAAAATTCAATCAGTTAATAGTTATATAATAGGGTTGTGTGTATATGTATATATATATATATATATATATATATATATATAGTTTACAAGCAAAGCAGTATTTCTTTATACTTTTTTACATTTTTATAAGTTTTTTATAAGCACAAAACAGAAAAAAATATACAATCTTTAATACTATTTATATAAATGATACAAAAAAGAAAGAAAATAATTTTTTTTTTTTTAAATAAGTCAATTAATTTAATTCATTCATTCATTTTCTTTTCAGCTTTGTCCCATTGTTCATCAGGGGTTGCCACAGCGGAATAAACTGACGACTTATTCAGCATATGTTTTATGCAGCGGATGCCCTTCCAGCTGCAACCCATCAGTGGGAAACATCCATACAGACTCATTCACACACATACACTACGGACAATTTTAGCTCTCCCAATTCACCCATAGCGCATGTCTTTGGACTGTGGGGGAAACCGGAGCACTCGCAGGAAACCCATGCCAGCACAGGGAGAAGACGCAAACTCACAGAAATGCCAACTGACCCAGCCGAGGCTTGAATCAGCGACTTTCTTGCGGTGAGGCGATCATGCAACCTACTGCACCACCTTGATGTCCAGTAAATTAATTAAAAAAAATAATAATAATTTTAAAAAACAAAACAAAAAAAAACAACAACAAACATGCACCATATAGAGTAAATATTTTACACCATCAACGTTTACTTGTTCAAACTCAAAACATTGAAAATGGAGAGCTAAGTAAAAATAAAATTGCCCATGAATAATAAGTGCCCTACTTTCAACTCTTAAAAAGATAAGGAAAAGGCTACAAATTTTTTTCAAACTTCTTAGAAGAATCTGCCCTAGCAAAACAAATTCTTTTAAGCTTAAGAGCAGCAACCATTTCAGTCAGCCATTCATGAAAAGTGGTAAAGTGGATTTCCAATCCATCAAGATTTATTGATAGACATGTGATCATATTTCTGACTTTATTCAGAACTTTTAAAAACTAATGATAACAGGTCCTACATCAAAACTTATATACTTAGGCTCGTTTACACTAGTGCGTTTTAGTTTTAAAACGGCGTTTTAGAATGAAAACGATCCGCGTCCACACTAGCGTTTTACCCAGCATTTCTGAACAGCTCTCCTTCCACACCAAAACGCACACACACACACTCTCGGGCAAGCGCTGCAGCATTTCTACCCAGGTGAGAGCTGTGCTGGTTGGACTGCTCATCAAGCATCTCCCGCTGGATCTAATCTCACTATATTTGCTAAACATGATATTTAATTAATCTTGTTGTCTTTATCTAAAGACATATTCCCCAATTTTGGTCTTTTGAATCGATTACTTGTTCACAAGTAACGTGTTTTGGCTAAGCGCAGATAGGTTAATAATTAATGTAACCCCGTACATTCTGTATATTGACTGATCGCTTGCCTTTATTTCCTATAATGTATAAACTTGTTGTCTGTTATACTTTTATAATGGCCATTTTTGATTATTAAAACTGATATTCAGCAAAAGAGGTTATGTTTCGTATTTTCTATGAAAATGAAAGGAGGCAGTCATGTTATCGGCTCCGTTTTGTTATAAATATCCACACAGTGAAGACGACACTCATATATGCAGCACAACTCCTCAACATTTCTGCTGTCTGTTAAGTTGCTAATATAAAAATGAAAATAGGCAGTTCCTTAAATCATGTTTTCGTTTTATTGTTGAGAAAGTGAAACAACGTAGCCAGGGTGATGTGAATGAAGTTATAAAGTACACTGTTCCCTTTGAAGATTTACCCGTGTCCTCAGAAGTCTGTTTTTCATATCAAACTTGCAAAGTCTGAACTTACAAGGAGAGGATGCATGACTGAACTGTGTGTAACGTTAGGCTACTTAATATTGAGGAAAAGCCCCAATCAGAGAGGCGAATGTCGGCAGCCCCGCCTCTGTTTTCAGATGTCTCCGTTTTCCCCCATCCACACTGAGACGGAGCAGCAACGTTTAAGAATGAAAACGGCCTCTTCAGTGTTTCCAAAATGCTCCGTTTTCAGCGCTCGAAAACTCCAGCGTAGTGTGGACGGATGGTGTAACCGTAGCAAAACGTATGCGTTTTTAAAAACTAAAACGCATTAGTGTAAACGGGGCCTTACAATGCTGTTATTCATATCTCCGCCTGCATCCCCAGTAAAATATTACTGTAAACAATAAATTTATGACACCACAAAATAAAAAATAGAGTTTAATATGAATCAATAGACTTTTTATTTTGTCCATTCGATATATATTGCACAGCCTTAATTAGATGTTTTAGAAACAATACTGTCTGGTTTTAAGTTTGCCAACAAAAAATGTTCCAAACTAAGCCAGAGCAGAACATAGGTACACCTGAAAACAACTCTACTGTGGTCTGTCCCTGACTGAATCACTTAATACTGATTCACTTGCTCATATCCATTATCTAAGGCCAAAAGCTTACAGCTGATTGCTGCACATTCCTGAGCTTCACACACAGTTGTTAAATGACTGATTAAATATGGTGTATTATACCTGCACTATTTTATCTTGAGGCCGAAGTCCAGATTTCTCTGCCGGTGAGTCCTCATCCACCGCCCTGATGTACTGGCCGGGTTTTGTTTTCTCTGTGTGAAGATTGAAGCCATATCCGGTGGCACCTTTCTTTATGTGACAGAGACGTGGACGCAGCTCGTTCTTCGAGTCCTACAAAGGGACAATAAATACAGGACACCATTAAAACTAAATTCAGATATGCAGACATCTCAAAAGCAAAACAATTAGGAAAATATTTCATATGCTATTATATAGTCATCCATTTCTTACAAGTTGTAATCAGGATGATATCTAAAAAGAAATATTCAAATGTGACCAACAGATCTGAATGTTAGCGACTATTATTATTCCCTATATCACAAATATAGGGAATATATATATTCTCATTAATGCAAAGAAGCTTTTTTTAAACATCATTTTCACCTTCAGCACACACCATAAAAGATTTCACTTCACAAATTGTGCAAGAAAAAATCCTAATACACATGAAGAATTTCCGACGCAAATTCACCAAGCCGATGTTGATACACAAACAACTGATCAAACAAAAGTCGTCTGCTTCCTAAAACATTCAAGCTTCCACAATATACCGAGCAACATTTTCCAAACGCAACCACAGGAATGTAAATATTATACAAAGAGAACTATAAAAAGTGAGAAATAACTCCATGTACCATTACAAAGACGATTCAGCACGTCAGCATCCAACAGAAGAAGCACTCAAAAGTAGAAGTAATGAAAGTGACCGCTCATATATGTACTTCCCTCTTTAGCAAACTTGTCTATGATATATGGCTGAAATAACACAAACAGATAAGACAATCAAACATCTACCTTCTGTACACAAGCACATATTGAACCATGAATGAGTCAAAGAAATCATTATGTATATATTTTTGGTGTTGCTGATAATGTTATGCGTTCTGTACCCCAGTGTGTCACTGAAAAAATAACATTTATTTGATTTGCAGGCCGATATATTAGCAGATAAACATTGTCAGTCAGCTAGCGCATGAAGGGGTTTCACCAGCGGAAATAATACATCATTCATTGGCTCAAAGATATCAGCCGAATTTTCTTATCGAACCGATATCATTAAAAATATTATTTATCAGCTGATATCTGGCCACTGATTTACAGTGAATCCCTAAATTAAAAAAACTAAAACAAACATTATACCATTTTTTAAATAATTTTTATTATTATTAATACTATTATTATTATTATTATTATTATTATCTGTAAGTATATGTATAATCTATGTATATACATATGTATACACTCGCACAATATACATACTTATCTTGTACATACCACTCTCATCAATAATAATAATAATAATAATAACAAATAATTATGATAATAATAAATAATGATGGAAATAACAATAATAATAATAGTAATAATAATATATGTAATCTTAAATAAAAACAATAAATAAAGCAAAAAAATTAGACAGGATTTTTTAAACAACATGTTTTACATTAATTTATATATATATATATATATATATATATATATATATATGTATGAAGTCAGAATTATTAGTCCCCCTCAATTATTAGCATGAATTATTCTAATTATTATTAGCATCCCTGATTTTTCCCCCAATTTCTGTTTAGAGGAGAGAAGATTTTTTAACACATTTCTAAACATAATAGTTTCATTAACTTTTCTCTAATAACTGATTTATTTTATATTTGCCATGATGACAGTAAATAATATTTGACTAGATGTTAGAAGACAAGACACTTCTATACAGCTTAAAGTGACATTTAAAGGCTTAACTAGGTTAATTAGGGTAACTAGGCAGGTTAGGGTAATTAGGCAAGTTATTGTACAATGATGGTTTGTTCTGTAGACTATCAAGAAAAAATGCAGCTTAAAGGGGCTAATAATTGTGTCCTTAAAAAGGCTTTTAAAAATTAAAAACTGCTTTTATTCTAGCTAAAATAAAACAAATAAGATTTTTACCAGTAGAAAAAAATTTATCAGGCACATGTGAAAATGTCTTTGCTCTGTTAAACATCATTTGGGAAATATTAAAAAAACAAAATAAAAATCAAAGGGGGGCTAATAATTCTGAATTTAACTGTAAATACACACACACACACACACACACACACACACACACACACACACACACACACACACACACACACACACACACACACACACACACACACACACACACACACACACACACACACACACACACACACACACTTTTCAGCTTGAGAATTATATTTATAGAGTGATATAGCAGACAATTATATCCAATGTTGTTGTTTTTTTTTCTAAGACAGATCAAACGCAAACCAATTCACCACCGCACAGAGAAACTGTGTCCAATGTGCTCATTATACGCCAACACTGATAATGCCAAATACAAAGCTGCAATGCACAGGAGAGCTGCTCTTCCAGGAAACCGGAGAGAGGTGTGGACTGAAGGGATAGCACTAGGGTCACTGAATGTGGGCTTCACAATTGACAATAGCTGCTCTCCCAAAAAAAAACTGGCTTCAGGCTAACTACAGGTCACAACAACATAGATATCATAATTACTGTCCCTCAAAGACTACAGCCAATAATGAAAGAACTAACTCTGACAGGTGACTATGCAAATTCAAGACCTATCTGAGCTCTGATTAGCATAGGCTTAGCTAGCAGAGGCCATATGTTACGCTAAGAGTTTAATCCTTCCTGCCGAACACAAGGCCTCGATTGCAGAGCTGTTTATGGATGGGTTTCTGGCATACGGGCTTGGTGATCAGAGCAATGAGCTATCTGTGCCCCCGATCAACGCATTTAAAGGGCTAGTTCACCCAAAATTGAAAACTTGCTCAACATTTACTTTTTATACAGGAGTTTCTTTCTTATATTGAACACAAAAACAGATATTTTACATAATGCTGGTAATTGACTGACTTCCATAGTAATAGTTTTGCTTACTACGCTTACCAACGGCTGCAGGTTTCCAGCATTCATCAAAATATCTTCTTTTATGTTGAAAGGATGAGTAAACTGTCTTTTTCGAGGTTGTTGTAAGCGTAAGTGTACATGCTATGAGTTGTTACTATGTGGTTTCTGATGCTTTGCTGGTTGTTTACAGCCCTCTGTGATATTTTTGTCATTAGTGGTCAGTCAAAGTAGCATGTTATGTTTTCCATGTTAATCTGAGTTTTTGTGCTAACCAACCACAATGACGAGATATACATATAGTGACGGAGGATACTAGTTTAGAAATGGTTCCTATTTTATATTCAAGGTTTGAACAGAGAACACAGAAACTATGATATTGGGAATCTAAATATGTGCTTTATATACCGTTTAAAGGCTTTGAAGATCATCAAGTGTTATCTTTATCTACATAGAGCAACAACCAATAAAGGGATAGTTCACCTATTCATTCATTCATTCATTTTCCTTCGCCTTCAATTTTCTCATTCTTCACTTTTTTATTCTATAAGATATACTGAAAAAAAGCTTCCAGGTTTTTTTTTTATGCCTACTAGATGTCAATGGCTGTTTTTTTGTTACAACATCCTACAAATAGAAATTCTGTGGCGCGATATGCAGGAATGGCACTGTGCGAATGACGCGAAACACGCAAATTAAGCGTTTTGTGCATTTGACGTGAGTAAACTCAAATGTTCACACGTCTTTTTACACCAAACAACATGATTTATCCGCACGTTCTGCATCTGGTATGAACACAGCATCACACTTTCGCTTGTTAAGTTCTGTGTTGAATATAAAATATTGCTTCTTACCTATAAAGCTTTAAATAGTCTAGCTCCTGTTTATCTAATCAACCCTCTTTCTCGCAACAATCCAACCCGCTGTTTGCGACCTTAAAACTCAGGGCTTCTGGTAGTACCCAAAATAGCAAAGTCTACTAAAGGAGGTCGAACCTTCTCATTTACGGCTCCTAAACTCTTTCCTGATAATGTCCAAGGCTCAAACACACTCTCCAAGTTCAAAACTAAAGACCTATTTATTTAGTAAAGCATACACAATGCACCACATAACGGTATGATGCATGAGTGGGCTTGCTAAACCACCCGTAGGACACAATCCTCCTGTCTTAATGCATCAGGCATTTTGCTAGAAATACATCTGTGCTTTATATATTTGTTTCTGAGTTAGTTTATACAACTCCTATTATATAACTCCTTTGTTCTCTATTTGCACCTGGGGATGCCCATCCAGAGGCCTCTAGAGATTGTTCAGTGCCATCGATGGGATCCAAGACGCGTGAAGAGATGATGCCAACCTATGAGGACTTCTAAGACAACACATTTGAAGAGATGGTGCCAACCATCAAGGATTTCGAGGACAACACATACACTTCATACACATAAACACTTCATTAAACATGTACACAGACACCACTTATATGCTATATAATTGCAGGTCAACTATGTCTGTATATAAGGACTTATATTTGATTGTAATTCAATAATGCGCACCTTTTGTAAAGCTGCTTTGAAACAATAATTATTGTAAAAAACTCTGTACAAATAAACTTGAATTGAATTGATCAGATTTATTTCCATAAAAAGTGTGACTTTACTCAATCACAGTAGCACTTTATTGTTACTTTTTACTCTGCTTTATGTATTCTCTGCATTTTATTATTTGATTTTTATTGACTTTTTTTTACTTGTATTTACCGGTATCCTTGTTTTTGTGTGTTTGTTCACCTTGTTTTTGCTTTGTTTTTATGGTTATAAACAAAGAATAAAAATATTCAATCAGTATGTATTTTGAATGACGGCAAAATCACTTAATATTTATAAAGTAGATTATGATCTTTTTGTTTCACCATGAGTGCAATGTGCTTTCTAATCTCATTTGACTATGTGTGATATATTTATTTCAAAAGTTTACACTTAGATAATGCTTGGCTATGTTAGCAGGTTTGGCATGCTGTCCTGAAAGAGAACCCTGAGCTTGGAAATAGATGAGCCCAACTAAGGCTCCTGCCTGGGCAATGAGCGTTAGAAGGGATACAGGATCAGCTAGTTCTCGAGAGCTCCCCTGATTTGTTTAACCTATACCATTATTAATAAGACGGCTCTATGGAAATAGACCACCAACCGCACCAGTGTTTACGCATTAATGGTTGTGACTGTTACAATTATTTA